TAAGCTGCAGCCCGAGTTGGAACCAAAATCCTTTCGTGTTTAGATACAGAGTCGCCGGCTTTGGCATTTCAAACAAAACACAAATAACGACAAATTTATTGTTGAGTGCAATAAATAAAAGGTGCTTTGGGGTACGTATATTTTGTTTTGTCTTCTATTACTAAATTATTTAAGTAAATAGTAGTTATGTAAAACATTTGCCTTATAAAATCCCTTAGGTACGTGATTACGTTTTGTTATTTTTATTTGTCCTTGTAAATAATATTCAAAAAGGACTCAAGTTTTGATATAATGTAAAAATGTTAGGTAATAGCCAATGACAATAGCGCAAACGACACAAAGCCGCTCGGTATATTGTGTCAAGTCGCACAATGCCAGCACATACAAACACAACCAATTTACTTTACTGTTTAACAAAATTGACAAGCAATTAACTACCTTATTGTACTCCTATACATACGAAGAGTTATGACAAGTAATCCTAAATGTCCATAAAACGTGTTCAATAGGAGAACAATATTTCAACTCTACATGTATATAATAGTTCTGTAAAAATAATGAAGCAATGTTTTATAATTTTTGTATGTAAATAATTTATTTAAAATAAATACCTCACTTTTAAATATAGAAAGATCAAAAGCTTATCAACTTATAAATTTCCTCGAATTAAGCACTTAAGTACACCTACGGACTCGCTTACGTGCATCGTAACGACGAAAAACTGTATCAGCAATATAGCTCCAGCTCCCGTTTCGCATGTGTTTTGTCTTCGCTCTATTATATAGCTAGATGAAATAGGTTAGCGTCCTTGGCCGCCCCGCTCCCGCGCCGCCGCCGCCGTCTCCGCTGCTCGCAAGATGCGAAGGGCAGTTACCCTCCAGACGTTATCGCTTAATTGATTTTCGCATTGCAATTTGAGTTGGCTACGCGTTCTGTCAGTGGCGACTAGAACCTTTTAGCTCTGGAAGCCGAAAATATTGAATTATTATTAAATTTGATTCAAGAATTATCCCGAATTTTAGTTTAGATTGGGCATGTTTTTCTTACCGATCAAGTAAATGCGAACAAAATAAGAAAGTGGCACTGGTGGATAATTCAAGATCCTACGACCTCAGGGATAGAGTGGTACGCAAATAAAGCTACAATCACATTCCTTGCAAATCACGAAGTAACTGCCCTGTAATAAAGTTACGCATATATTTTTCTACCTCTTTTAATTATTTCTTTAAGACAATCAGACCAATCGCCTAGCCCCATACGAAGCTGTAGTGTACTAAGGCGTTACAGGCACTAATTCACATTTATAGGGCGACTATACGTACTTCCTGCTTAAACTGTCTCCAAGACAATATAGCACCAAAGCTCCCTCAGCGGTCCCCCGTCCTTGTGACATGATTAGCAGTCCGTTGGTACCCACTGCCCTGAGCCGTCGCCGTCGGCCTCCCCGCTGTCGCAAAATTTTGTACAGCTTAACCATTATAAATATGTTAATTACAATAATAATGATTATGAATTAAAAAGAGTATGGTTGTATTATTCGTTTTCAATACTTAGTGGCGCTTACAACCTTTTGGATCTAAGCCCAAATTACTATAAAAAGTCTTCATGGTGGGTCGATCTAATAGGCAAGGCCATCAGTGCTTAACAAACGCCTTTGACTCATTGGTTTACTAAGAAATTAAAGGCGAATTTTTAACTTCACCGTTCGGGTTTTATTGCGCAAAGTATAATGTACTGGTTCATAGCCGGCGTTCGATCCTACTATCTCTAAAGGTGAAGGACGCGTATAAAGCCTTCTAAACACTATTTACTCACTGAACAGTGCTTCTTTCAAGTCCAATATTTTAAATCATGCCCTTAACTGATCTAGATGTTAATCATATATCCGTTTACTTAGTAAAAAGTTTTTTAATTTTTGTAATTAAAATTATAATACTTAGTAAATATTATAATCCTGTTTAATAAAGAGAATGAACAATCGATATAATATGAACTTATTAGTTCTCATTATTTAAAATTTTTATAGCTAATGGATATTAAAATTACTATAAAAAGTCTTAGTCAGATTTTCTCTGCAATCTATTTCTATACAATTTTTTAACCTACTAATGGCCTTCTGTAGGCTCCGTTCATTGTAGCACGCTCAAAGCCACTACGCCAAGGCAATGTTTACAATTATTATACTCAATATATCTTTTATACAGATAAAGTCTTGTTTTTATTAGTACTTAAAATGGTAACAAGTGTCTTGAAGCAGGCATTTTTAAATATTGACCATTCCGGACCACTTCCCCCAAAAATGTAAATATATACTACTAGCTTTCAACCCAGCTCCGGCGTAGTTGACTTTACGATTTTGTTGCATAGGACTTGAACGTTTGATCCTAAAAATCTTAATTTATTTTATAGCTACATTCTGAATAAAAAATACTGATCCTTTTACTGACCACTCCACAGCCCCCTTTATACCGTCTTTTGGACTATGGTCAGCAGATTAGAACGGGGTCCTGTCTTCGTTTTTGCATCCTACACTTGGTCTATATACCATTTTTTCGTCAACCGCTCCAGATTTCGTTGCTGAATCTGTCACCGAAGCTCCTGCTGCTGAGTTGGCTCAGTTGGCTGGGTATTCATGTATTTGTTTTGTTCGCTTACTTTTACATATTATTTTTTTCTTACTCCCGGTACGTAATTCTAACTAAAATGAATCATACATATAATATATGTAAGAATATAAACTTATTGATACCCATTTTGTCACTAGCAGGCGAACGGATGCGCATTTTGATTGGCTTGTATAGGGGACCATCGCTTGTAAAACACTGCCATTCTCTAACGGAATAAAATAAAAATCAATATTTTTCTTTAGTTATTGAAAAAAGCACATAATGAAACGATTTTTCGTAACAAGTATTTGTTCACTACATGGGATATCATTAGATCGGTTTTTGATGAGCGCGCATAAGTATGAATTTTAACAAATGATTGTAGTCTCCAAGAAGGGCGAGCAACTCGTCAATACGTCTGTAAAATTGGTTTGATAAGCCTTCTGATACTTGGAAAGAATTTCTGTCATCACATGACTATAACTCTTATTTCTAGGACTTGGCTTCAATGCGCTGGGCTTACACTGGTCCACACGCCTCATAGTTTCTGATCAATGTTTCGTGACCTCCAGTTTACTATTCCTCCTATAACCTTTCTGCTGGCCGTTCAAGTTGGGCTGTATGGACAATGCCAACAAGGTTTGAACAATATTATACCGCAATAGATCTATTATAGGAATAAATCTATTTTTATTGCTTGATTGCAAACAAGACGAGACTCTTTAGCACTTGTTGCGACCAGTAACACCATCGTTTAAGAATAAATTAGGCTATTTTACATGGGGAGTAGCCTTTGAATACGTTAAATTTTTTTGCATAACGTATTGAATTTTTTCCTATAATATTATTGATTTTATAGCTACATTATTAGCAATGGCTGTCCCCTCCTACGCCACGTTAACCGTGCACCCCCAGAAAGGGCAAAAAATTATTAGCATGCTGTCACGCTCGTTTTCTTTGGCACTACTTGGTCAGCAGATTAGCTTTCGGGGTGCTGTCTTTTTTGCATACTACCCTTGGTCAATACTTTTCGTCAACCGCACCAGATTTCGCTGTTCTGAATCGGTCGCCGAAGCTCCGTGCTGCTGAACTAGGCCTGGTCGGTCGTTCATATTCACGTGACCTGGGTCTGTTCTAACCGTGTCAAAATTATTTTATCGGTCCTACCATTCGATTAATTGACATCAAACAAAAAGTATGGACCGAAGTATAAAATTAACGATGCCGATTTATGTTCACTAGCAATTTCGTAAGGTTTACAGGAGGTAAGCTAGGTTATGGATTCCTGGTATAAAAGCTTCCAATATCTAAAATGGTTATTAAAATCCAATAAATCAAAGGAAATTCTGCTAGTTTTGAAATTATGACTTAAGAAATAAAACGGCACCATATAAAACATATGAGTTACTACTTTTTTAGTATCCAAAGCGACATACAGTTATGAGTCTAAGGAAATACATTGTATCTCCAACAATGAGCTTTAATAACAATACCTGTATAATGTCTCATAAACCTTTAAATACTTGTACAAGACTTTCTGCTCTCAACTAAACTCTTATGTCGAGGTTGCGCAATGCGCTGGGCTGATGACTAGTAAAAACGCCTCAAGTTTCTGATCAATTTCCACCTCCAGGTTACTATTCCTCCTTAACTTTCTGCGGGTTAAGAACGTTTTTATGGAAATCGAAACAAAGGACAAAGTATACATGCACGAGTCGATTATTGGATGCAAATAAATTTTCAGCTCGATTGCACAAGACATACCAAAGTAGCACTTATCACCAGTAACACAATCTTTTATAGAAAAAATTATTTTTAAATGGGGATAGCCTTTAAATACGTTATATTTTTCTATATAACGTATTTAATTTTTTTCTATATGTATTATATTAGTTTGCAATTATTAGCATAACTGCCACGCTGGTTTTCTTTCGGCACAAACTTGTCACACTTTAGCTTTCTGTGTAGTCTGTGCATACTAGTGAATCTATGGTAATAACAAGTTTTCGCTGTTCTGTGGGTCGGCGGTCCGTGTGGTGAACCCTGACGAGACTTGAGGGCTGCCGGCTGAGGCGTTTACAGTTTACTTTACTCATTGTCATTACTGAATACTGCGCCATTTTGTTTGTTGCAGCCAACTGCCGTGCTAAAGAAATAACCGATAGGGCATCGATTAAGTAATTTTATTAAGAATTAGAGTTGTGTGCACTTGGTGTCATGTTAGTGGACTAATAATTGTTGTGTAAACATTTAATTGTCTTTTTGACCAACGCGAGGTAAGTTTTCAGCTCTTGTCTCAGCACTCGTGTTTTTTATCAAAGATGGCGGAATAAAGATTATAATACCCTAACCTTACATCAACATTATTCGCCATTTTATCTTCTAGGCTCGACAATGGAGCCCTCGTTGGTTGCGTCATTAGTGGCGCAATCGATTAATTATCATGGCCAGCAATTACAAAAGTCGTGGGAAAATGAAAGAGGAGAAGATGATCTTACCAAGGTCGGTGTTGGAGCTCTGGACTTTGCTGTCTACCAGTCCCGGCACAAGCACCTTACTTTTCAAGATAGGGCCAAAAGGTTGAAGCTCCATCAATTCATTGCCAAAGAAGCAAATTCGTTGTTCGACTCATCTTTGCTAGACGAAAGTCCGTCATCATCGAGTTTAGTAGGAGTAGAGGCTACCGCACCTGAAGACAGTGAGTTAACATTAGTTATGAAAATAATGAGTTCTTATTGTAACTGACTGTCAACAACTGTTTGACACCACCCAAATTGTTTTGATATTGTACCTTTATTACCAAATGCAATTGACTTCAACTACAAAAAATAATAAGATTAACAATATAAAGTAATATTAATAATATTTACAAGGCAACATAAAGTGTACTGTGATCAGTCCAGATTTCTTTTTTTAGTAAGCTCTGTAGTTAAATCCAACTCCTTAGTCAAATTTTTATAACATGACAATTTTGCTTATACATTTTTATAACCTGTTATATTGTTTCAGACCTTTATGCTTTGATGCCTCCATTTGAAACCTTCCTTAATGTTGATAAGTCTGCAAGGCTGCGTCATTTTTTTGATGTGAGTATGGTTGTTATTGTATCCTTAATTTAACAATATCCATAGTCTCTATATACACTGGAAGTACTATATTATTACTTTGCTTCACTCTTTACCCTTAAGGACGAGGTAAAAGCTGAAACCATTGATGCCTTTTTATAAACCAAAATGAAGAATTAAAGTTTTATATTAAGTTGTTACTAAGAAATAAACAGTTATTATTTTGCATTTATAATATACAAAATCAGAAATTACTGATGAAACCTTTGGTTAATAGAATGTGAAAACTGGAGAGTTGATTATTGGAGCTGTCATCAACAGAACAGCATCTGGGATGATGTTGAAAGTCCTTTGTACTGCAGGGCCTACCTCAAGATATGTTGCTGATATTAATGTAAAGGTAACTAAAAATAGATTCCTTATTATACTATTATTTTCTTTATGTGTGAATTTAAATGTGTGGTATGAATTAAATAATTTTAATATCCATTATAAATATAGTTAAAAAAAAAATTATAACATTCTGAAATCAAAGACAAATCTTAAATCAGCAGCAACTAATTCAATAAATTATTTCAACAGGCATTTCTACCAGTGTCCAATATCATACCGGCTGTCGACAAGAAAAATGTCTCAAGAAACTACTTAATGAATGACACAGTTTGCTGTGAAGTGATTGAAGTGATCCCAGACACGGACAAAATGGTGTGCGGCATGAAGGGAGTCACTAGAGGCCCTGATGATCCACCGCCTAAGCCCCCTTTAGGCCTCCTGAGCACGGATGACTTCCCTCTTATTTACAAGTATGTATTAGTTATTATGCAGTTGCTAACTGTCAGATTCACACTTGCAGGTTTATGGATCACAGCTTTCTATGTATTACTTCTTAAATATGAAGACAATGAAAACAAATATAGAATGTGAATGTATAACCATAAATATATCTAGCATATACCAGAAGGATCAGCAGATTTGATTGACGAAGTTAGATATGATGTAAACACCAGTGATTTTATTTTCTGAAGTTGATACATTTAAGAAAAGGTTGCTTACAAGTTGTGTTGTGTGATATGTATGTCACGAATTTAAACACTTTTCAGTTTTAAAACACATTACACCAATAATGAAATTGCACCTGTATGTAAAAGTTAAATAATTAAAGGACTTGACACTCCATGAAGTCTTTTCAAGTTATTTTAGTTGAGGATTATTTTTTAATTTAAAAGTAAAAATAACACAGTATAAAGGTTAGTACAAAAGTGTAGGGTTATCTGTTGTCTAAGAAAGGAGACCATTTCATTCTGTATTAAAGTTAATGTTTAACATTCCAGCATTATATCAAACAATTGATTGGACTTTATTGTAATCAGCATTTTTTGGATGTTGGCGTTATTTAATTCTTATCCAGTAAGGAATAACCGAGCATACAGTTTTAGCCAGAGCAGGATTTTTGGATATGGAAAAAATTTGTCACCAGTCATCATCTACAATATGCTGTACCAGGAATTGCAAATACCCTTGTCAAAAGATTCTATTATTTTAGGATGTTTTTTTCTAGGTTTACGAGTTCCAAATATCTAAATCTCCATTGTACTGTGACTAGCTGATAATCTGGTAATATTAATGTCACATAGTTGAGGCAGCATCACATATCCTATGATGTTTATTTATGTGTGAAAGCAATAAATACAAGTTAAATAACATTTTTTGAACAGCTTCATGGAACAGGTGAGGATAAGTATGTGAGACATGGCAGTTAGGTTACTGTTGAGATTACATTATGATTAAATTCAACCAATGCTACAGTCAATATAATGGCACTGTCAGATACAAAAAATGGCATTTGTTTTGGGTTGGCTTTTTGCTAACACTGAGTTGTCTTTGTGCAGGAAAACCATGGAAATGAAGGGAGAAAGCTATGAAGCCATTTTAGAGAAGAGTCCGGGCTTCAATAACCCAAACTGCGTACAATATCTGTCAGATCTTCTGGGACTGTCAAATATGCACTGCACCAACTTCATGGCTTTAAGGTATTTTTTTTATATTTGTTGTTAGAGAAGTTAAAAGAAAGACAGTACTCGAATCATTTAAAATTGGTTGATTGTTGTTCTAAAGATCATACAAACATACTATAAATAAGTATATCAAATTTAGAAACAATTTGTACTATTCTATTTTTAATCAAAATATTCTTCCTACAGAGGGGGATTCTCTACAACAGAATACGCAGATGAATTACGACAGGCACAAGCAAGCAAATGGGCTTTCCGGTCAGTGGCTGAAGGAATAGAACATTTCAAGGCTGGCAGGCATTCAGAAGCTTTCCAATGCCTTAACAAAGCCCTGAGTATTGACCCTAGGAATGTTGAAGGATTAGTTGCACGTGGAGCCTTGTATGCCAATAGTGGAACATTCAAAAAAGCTATAGAGGACTTTGAAACATCATTGAAGCTGAATCCAAACCATGCCAATGCACGAAAATATTTAGGGGAAACTTTAGTGGCATTAGGGAGAAGTTACGAAGATGAAAATAAAATTGCAGAAGCCCAGAAGGCTTACGAGGACTGTCTGGCGATCATTCCCTTTCATGAGGAGGCCCAGAATTCCCTTGACTTCTTGAAGAGTAAGACATCGTCAGTCAAACCACTGATAGAGCCTACAGAATTGCTTCTCCCTGGATTGACTGGTGCTAAGTCATTTGAAATGAAGGAGACGTTGAAGCAGTTGTTGAATCTAACAGAGAAAAAAGATAAGAAAAAGAAGAAGAAACGTGGGAAGGGTAAGAAGAAACGATCGAGCAGTTCGTCGTCATCATCGAGTGACTCCAGCAGCTCGAGTGATTCCTCTGAATCGTCGTCATCGTCGTCTGACTCTAGTGGTATTATGAAATTCATTATTATAGAGAAATCTATAAAATTTATGTAACTTCAAAATTAGTAACAGTTAACAATATAAATGTTACTCTTAAGGTTTTAGCTTTTAATTCATCAAATTTTAATCAAATGCTAATAGGTGCTTATTAAAAATGTATATTAACGAGTTATTCTATTTCTAACAAAGATTCAGAAGGGCCAAAGAAGAAAAAGCGTCGTTCCCAATCCAACAACAAGCGGCAGAGGTCTCTATCGCCTCTCAGCAAGAGAATGGCAATGTTGGGAGATGGGGACACAGCGAGAACCCACAACTCTCAGTTCAACCATCCCTACGGGTACCAGCCGCCGCCGCCACCAGCTGAAGAACAGCCCCAGATGAGGTCGCAGGCCGATATCGACTATGAGCTTAAGGTACACTCAATTTAGACTAAAAATTTATCAGTATTAATTTATGTATTAGATCAGGCAAATAATCCATTTTACTGAATGCCAAAAAAAGAACAGGCTTAGAAATTTGTTTGGTTTATTTCTTATCAAATTTATATAAAAATATTCCTCGACTGTTTTTATAAACATATTATTTAAGCCATTATTTCAATAGTAATTAATTCAAATCTTTGAAAATAGGTACGCAAATTCCTTGAAATGACCAAAGAAGACTCAGAATATGAAGACAAAGTACGCAACTTTTTGGAAGAGACTGCTCAATACAAACGGAATCGTAAAATGCAAGAGCTTGGACAACAGCCGCAGCCCACAGCTGACCATGACAAGAAGAAGAAGAAAAAGAAAGACAAGTACGTAATTCTAGTGTAATTTATCATATTATTAACAAATATAACCCATGATTGACTGACTTCTTGATTGAAAAAAACAAACACTTCACTAGCAAACTATATTTTACCATTTAATATGCTTAATGCTTCGGTCCTTGGTTCGATCATTGATAAAAATATAATTGTTTTGGGTTGGATTGCACAGACTGTTGCTTTTAAAATTAATATATAATCTACAAAAATATGTTTTATAAGCGATTAAGAGACTTCAACCACAATATCTACGTATCACACTTATTAAATAATACAATAAACAAAACTTAATCTTTAAATCTTAAACATATTTTTATAGAAAGAAGAAGAAAGAGTCGAAGCGCAAACGTAAAGAACAAGAAAGAGAGGAGAAGAGAAAGTCCAAGTTGGCGCGTACAGCGAGTTCGGATTACAATATGCGGGAATTGGAGAATATTGGTGATAAAAAACTTAGGGATGCTATCAGGTTTGTTTAAATAATATACATATATTTATACACTGCTATATTTTTTACGAAAAAAAGTTAAAGACTGCCGCACTGTCATAATAATCGTGTATACGGCGGTTACAATGATTCTAAACTTGTTGTATGAATATTTCAATGTTAATGTGTATTTTTTTTTCAGGAAAGAACTAAAGGGCAAATCTAAACGCGATTTGAGCTCGGAGGGCGAATTTGATAGAAAACATGAGAAGAAGTAAGTTGTTGTGTATTTGGCGTGTGACTATGCTATGTTAAAAAGATTGATGTACATTTTGAGTCAGAAACACTTCTTACGGTGTGCAACACAAAAAAATTTTTTTTAATAACAATTTGCTTCATGGTTGGTTAATAAAAACATCAAAGGGTAATTTGCTTCAACAATGCTTAAACAATTCTGTCTTGCTTACACAACAACATGTTGTATTTTTAGACCGATGTACAATATGTGTATGAAAATTACGGTTATTGTCTGTCATTCCAGGTCTTAAAATGATATATTTTCGTACTTTTAAATTTACCATTTAGCAATAATGATATTTTTAGCCGAATGCTAGACGACATGCATGGCCTGGAGGAACTGGAGTCCAAGTTGAATGCTTACCACTCCATGGTGGAGAAGGAAGTCCTTGGGAAACGAGACCGTTCCTCTCTTAGTCCCATTGACCAGGCCCCACTACCACCACTGGAGAAGCCAAAGTGGAAGATGACTATGGGTGCTGTGAAGGAGCCGTGAGTTTTTATTTCCTGTTTTATTAATAAATAAAAGTGTGTGTGTGTCAGCTACGACGCACGATTGGAGTTTACTCCTTACGAACGATAATTATGATATATATCGAATAGAAAAAAATAGAAATGGGTCGTAATAATTTAATATAAGTATTATAAAATATTGTATAAATATAAAATATATTTAATCAATTAATTAAAAATAATAAACAAAGATGGCGATAATGTTCTGTGGCTGTCGACCATATTTTCATACTAAAGGTGGTAAGAATATATGTTTTTATAATATAAATGTTTGTAGTAGTAATAAAACGTACCTACATCATCTATGCCCAAATAGGATTTTCTTTCTGTGACCAAAGTTACCTTTATAGTAAGAGAAGAATAAAGGTGGAAACATACTACTAAAACGCCACGCGACGCAACGTGTCGACACCCGATGTCCATCGTGCACATTACCAACACGCGACACCACGACTTAAATCCATTCGTAGAAATTCCACTCAGTATGCATTTTCAGTAAGAAACAAATTTAAGGAATATTTAAGTGGTGAAGGCGCCGTTCCGTGGCAGCTTGATATTGTGAGGAAAGGTAGACAAAATTAAAAACTTGCAACTCATACAAAAGTCTTGTAATATAATATTTTATTAAAACTTTCCGCTTGTATTCAATTGTTCGGTTTTCTTCCCATACATTATTTCTCACAGTATGGTCGCTGTATTGAGCTAATCTCATGTCATATAGAACAGAATATTGTTTCACCAACTCAATTAATTGTTGGTCGTTCATTTCGCCAAATAAATAAATCCAAAAAATGTAAGTATATAAATTGACATTTGTGCCAAAAACTCGAACGTTTGACGCTTGGCGTCAACAACACGACAACACGCTGATCCAAATCGATTGATGTTACGCGTGTGATAATGGGTGTTGTTATGTGCACCTGACCATATTAAATATATGGGATTGATAAATACTGAATGGTGGATGGGGGTGTGGTGGTAGTAGTATGGTGAATGAACAATCTTTTTAGTTTTAATTTCACTGACCATTACTATTGACAAAACTCTATGGCCCGCTAGACAATCTACTTTTATTTTTTTACACCTGTCAACACTGACAATGTTGTAACGTGGCTGTCAAAACGTGAATTCAAAATAGAAAAGTCTGTGTAATGTATTCCATCTCATTCTTTTACACGTTCAATCCTACAGATATATATGTTTGTCTCGAAACACGAAAAGTTGAGGCGTTATGTGTAACACGAAAAGTTGAGGCGTTATGTAGAAAGAGATTGTTCATTCTTATTCTTCTCTTACTATAAAGGTAACTTTGGTCACAGAAAGAAAATCCTATTTGGGAAAGATGATGTAGGTACGTTTTATAACTACTACAAACTTTTATATTATAAAAACATATATTCTTACCACCTTTAGTATGAAAATATGGTCGATAGCCACAGAACATTATCGCCATCTTTGTTTATTATTTTTAATTAATTGATTAAATATATTTTATATTTATATAATATTTTATAATACTTATATTAAATTATTACGACCCATTTCTATTTTTTTCTATTGATATAATAAATTATTTGTAGGAATAACTCAATTGTGTAGCTACACACACACACTTATTATATATTTCTTATTTATAAGGTGATGAAAGAATTGTCAAAAAGGGGTAAAAATAAGGGAGTCAAGTATTACGTAACGAATTTTGGGGGGGGGGCGTCTTTTTGTAAAACGATGCGGGGCGGGGTTTGAATTACGCGTTATTGTTAATATTATTTTCGACTTTACACCACAAAATGGTAACTTTTAGGTATAAAGAGTCACTGGGTGGTCACGAAACGTTACTATACTTGGGTACAGTAAAACGTTACGGCGCGTTACACGGGGGGTGTCAATTATCTCCAAAAATTTGAACACTCCCAAACATTACACTGATGCAAACAAAGTTCTTAACCTTGAAGCCTTAATAGGTTACCTAGAGGTTCTAAGTTCGATTTGCTGGCAAAACATATTGTTTCTGGTGGGAATGCTCATTGGTCCAAGGCCTTAAAATATATTATAAATATTTTCCCAGAACTAAAAAGAAGGAAACGCCGACACAAAAGGGCTACAAAGAGCGCTACGCCTTTGAAGATAGCTCGGATGAGTCACAAGATCATAGGGTGAGTTAAGCATTAGACAATTATGTTGTATATGTAATCTTTGACTGACTATGTATTACCATGGTTTTGCCATATGGTTCATAAATTCCATATGAAGAAAAATGGAACATAGTAGTACTAACTTTATTGTATGTCGAACGGATGTAAAAATTGAGAACTGACAGTAAATTTACATTTAATTTTTTTTTAATTGTTTGAATTTAATTAAATAGAATATTTTTTTTAACTTAAGACTAACAAGTAATTTAAGTCTAACCTAATTTATTAAAAAGGATATTTAACATAAGAATCATAAGATAGTGTCCAATGACACTACTTACAGTCTCTATTAAAGGGAAGACACTTTGTTCTTGTGTTCTATTTTTCCACTCACTGTTTAGCACTAAATACTAAAGTGCACTAGCACTAATTCACTAGTTCAAATGATTTTGTCCTTTTCAATCTTCTCACTAGGCCCGTGTCAAGGAGTTGAATAGCCTTGACATTCACGTGATGGTGGAGCCTATGTTTGTGGGCTCCGGCAGTCTTTTTTATTACTGTGGCGATGTCCTCTACATTAAGGTCCCGATGGAGGTCGTAATTGCAATGAACCAGGGAGCATTGACTATTCCCCTGGGAATTTTGTTTTGGAATCGTTGGGTTACAATTAAATTGAAATGATAATTGGTTTAAACAATGCAGGGCTCCCCCAACGACAAGAACTTGTCAGTTCGGCGTGCGATGGCCATGAAGGAGCCTCCGCCTTTGCCCACTGCACCTCCGCCAAAGAGCCGAGAGCCAGACCCGCCAGGCGTTGACCCTCCGCACTCTCATCACTCGCATCATCAACATCACGTGCCGGTAATTATTTATTCATTTCTCACCTTTTGTCATTTATTTAATAGATAAATCGATGTCGCTGTGTCTCTCTTTGAACAATCACTGAAAAACATTCGAAACTTTTAAATTAGCGGACTCTGAATGAAGCCAATCCGGTGGCTCATATAATCTATGTATATTTGGTTGGAGCCACAAAATCATTGAACTTTAGTTGAGTTTAAGAAATGATTTGTTTCTTTATCTTTTTAAATGTGTGTTGATATTCTCAGTCAATTGGAAGGGCAAAAATTGGTATTATAACGGCTGTTAAAGCTCAAATATTTTAATGTAATTTTTTCGATAAAGATTAACATGAGAACTTTATAATGCAATACAAATAATATATTATTTTTCGTTTATTTTCAATATACTTATCAAATTCAGCTAATAGTCAAGTGTCATTAAATTGGGTCAATTATGTAATAATTTATAATCCAACAAAAACATTTCAGCCGGTGCGCAAAGGAAACATAGTACTCGACAAGTTCGGGTCATTCCGTTTGGCTCAAGAAGGTGAAACGCCGGTGTCAGTCGGGGAGCAGCGACCCGAACAATTCGTGACTCGGATCAAACCACCATCGCCCACATCTAGGCGCCCTAGATCTCCGCCATCGCCTAGGCGCAGAAGTGGTTCCAACTCCTCTGATGATAGGCACTCGAAGAGATCTCGAAGCAGGTTTGTTATCTATTTAATTAACACAGGCTGGTCTTGTGATAGTTTTCATTAAGAGGAATCAATGGTTAATTGATGTATTGCGTTACGATTACACGCCTAAATCATTAATCAACTCTCATCTCATTAATCAAGAAGAACTGGCAATAAACTCTCCGCCACTCTTTTTAATCGCCATGTATTTTTTTTTACACAACGTTTGTAAGGAGCTGCAACCATTAAACCATGTTCCACATGACATCTTAAGTAATTAATAATAATAACATAAATTAAAAACAAAGATTTGTCCTCTATCAGCAGGAGGCATGGTGAAATAGGAGCACGCACTTACATTCTCGTGGGAACAACACGCAAACACATAGTCGTAGTAGTATTCATGTTAAATTATTTAACTTTTCCTTCATTTAATATAATTATGGATAAGCAAACATTTATTTTTAATGTGTGATACTAGTGTAAATAAATGAATATAAAGTTTAAACATAGCAAAAAAATTACTAATAAAAAAGTGCTTAATAGATGTTTCAATCGTCTTTAACATGCATTTCTATAGACAAACGCTATTTATTCCATATCAATGTGTAATATATAAATTTCATATATTGTAGAATACAAAATATTTTAGCTAATAATAGTGTGACATTGCAGAGTCCTTATCTAAAAAATAAGAATAAGTATTATATTAAAATATTTGAATTTTGGCACTCCCTGGCTCTTTAACTTTTACTTTCTCATAAATGATATAGGTTTTACGCAATTCGAAGTCCCCTGTTTCCTAAAATGTGTCATCCACAGATCCCGACCACGCAAGTACAGATCAAGATCCGGTTCTCGCTCCAGGTCTGGATCCAGCCAGAGTGGGTCCATGGCGTCCCGTCGCCGTCGTTCGGGCTCTCCGCGATCCCGCTCCCGTTCTGATGCCAGCCGCAGTTATTACTCGCGAAGTCGGTCTCGTTCGCGCTCTGCTTCTAGAGACAGGTAAAACTTTGTTGCTATATTAATATGTATATGCAAAAAAATCTTTTTTTGAAACCTAAGATTCTGCTTCATATCCCATTTTGGATGCGTTTTACATATTTTTTTAAAATAAACTTATTCCATACAATTTTCTGAAGAGACATGATGGTGTCTTAAAATCGATACTCATACGAACTCGACAAATTTTCGCCAAAAATTAAAAAAAAAGGAAGCTTCTAATTTTTCATATGCATATGTCCTCCAATAGTTTTTCCCAAACCGAAAATGTAAAGCATACATCCAGTATCACCGATAATTATTATTTGAAATAGATTTCCTCGCCGATTTAACCGTCGTGGCAATTGGCGTGGCCGTGGGGGCTACGAGCGTGGGACTTACTATCGCCCTCGTTTCAACGCGTACAATGGCGGTGGAAGGGGCAGAGGCCGAGGAGACTTCAGGAGAGATGATGGACGCCGGTTCAACCCCGAATGGAGAGATAACCGCTCGAGGGGTGGAAGGCCTTTTAGACCCAGGAGAGGGGGAGGCGGACGTGGCCGACCTTTCAGGTATGTTCACTAACTGGCAACATTAGCTAATTATAGGAACCTTGACTAATTAATGTTTTATATACATTTAGTATAAAAATATTCTTAAAGTGTAAAGTTAAACAAGAATTTCTTTAGTAATCAGTTTCTAATATATCGTATTTCTAAAGAAAACATACAAGTGTCTGTTTTTATACTAGCTTAATAACATTCAGGTGTGTTATTGTGTATATAATTAGTGTAATATGTATATAACTTTATGTGAATAGTATATAAATGGTTTTAACTTCAGGGGCGGATTCCGTGATTTCCGCGATAATAGACGCGGCGGTGGACGTTACTCGCGTTCTCGCAGCCCTGATCGTACTCGTCGTTCTCGCTCTTACAGTCCGGAAAGGAGGGACAAGGACAGAGATAGGTTAGTATCAATTATAATTTTGTGTGAAAAATTGATAAGTAAATTATTCTTTAAGCTATGTGCTACTTAATAATTGACAGTATTTGATTAGCCTATAAAACCATGTTTTTAAAATCATAACCTCATCAAGTACCAAAACTATCCAGTATATGGAGGTCGTCAAACCAAACGATCCAATTTATTAGAGGAAAAAAAATGTATTATTCATTACGTATATAATTAGGTCAATTTCTCAATACCAAATAGGTGCAATAAATGTATTTTATTAAACAATTTTTAAAGCTACTCTCGTTATTCGGAACGCGGCAGTCACCGTAGTGAAGGTGAATACGAAGAAGAGAGGTACGTCGATAGGAAGGAGTATGACGGCAAGTGGGCAGATGGTAATGAACCTGACAGGAACCACACTGAGGAACAACCAGAACCACCCCCGCCAAAGGAAGATATCTAGACGACGGAGTTATAGATAACCGTAGATTTGTCATTATATACCACCAATCAGAATGTGTTATGCACTTAGATATCTGTATTTGTATAATATGATTGCGTTCATTTCATCAAATTAGTACATTAGTAAAAAACTTATTTCATACTTATTAAATAAGTAATGTAAATGTAAGCCCTAAACTACCAAAATTGTTTATGAATTAAGGTATACCCTAATGACTAATACATATATGGAGAACATTATATAATTGATACAATAAAAATATATACAATTGATACCTTCAAAGACAAAAATATGAAAGCTTGAGTTCTCATTGTTTAATATACATTCTCTTCATAAATCAATTTAATATAAGGGCTTGAAATGACATTGAAATTAATTTTAAGTTAAGAATAGCAAATGCACATCATATTTGTATAAATATAACGAATGCTAATTAATTTGTCTTGGTTTCCATTTTCTCCATCTCGTTAGTAATTTTAATTGTCCATTCCAAGAAAATTTGGTATGTAGTCAACACATTGTGATTTCAAAATAAAAATAATAAAATACTATTCACATCTTTTATTTTGTAAAATAGCCGTTTTTGATTATTCCTAAAAATAGAAAGATATTTTTTTTATACTATGTATATTATTAGTGTAGGCAACTTAGTCACCTAAACATAGGCGCATGCCCTCAGCTCTGTCATAATTATGGTGTTCATGATGTCTACATACACGAATGTTTTGGAAATCTTGTTCAGGGTAAGTTAAATTAACACCAAATAAACTTGCACATAGCAGAAATGAAATGGCCATCTTTACATTTTCAAGTTTGTTTACGACTGATAATACTGTATGGATAATTTTAAAATTTGGATAAATAAAAAAATACATTGAGTAGGCAGCAAGGGCGTGGGTGCTGTTACTGACTACCCTGAACCTCAGTACAAAATTCAGATGTTCAGATGACCCGCAATGTATATATGACGGACACCCATTTCTTGTCAAAGACATTGGTCTGCTCACACTGTTTTCCTTCAACAATTATGTTTAGCTTGTTAATTACAGCAATCTGGACAATGTGAAAGGAAAATAACAAAGTTTAGTAAGATATAAATACTTTTTAATTGATCTTAAAAACAGCATCTATGTGCGTTTCTTCTTTTTGTTCTTGTTTTTGGTGGATACACTTGTATCAACATTCCAATACCAAAATAGTTGGAAGACAATAGCACCATTGGCTATAGTTGATACACAATATGTGACTATAATTATTAGGTCTCCTGTTTCCTGGATGGATGTAAATATTCTTGCAATACTGCCCGCAAATAGAAGGAAACATGTCACCGCTGATAATTGTCCAGTACTGCCATTCTTGTAGTTAGTTATAACTTGAATTGCCTGAAATAATTATATGCCGTTAAAAACATTCCAAGTTTTAATTTTAGACCATAAAAAGTTTACATTTATGGTATTAATAAATTACTAAATAGATTAACAATTATATTAACTACATAAGATGAATAAATAAATAGATTGTTATAAATTACCTTAGCAACTAATATAATAGGAACATTAACAGCTTGCATTGTCCATAGAACATCAACAGGAGTATAACCACTGACTAATGCTGACACAACAGCAGGATATACAGACAAGAATAATGCAGCTTGCATTGGAGACCCACTATAATGAAGTACAAGAGCTGCAATTGCAGCTGTTTGAAGAGCCAGAAATGTTCCTTCACCCCATGCACTAAAAATATATAAAACCACATTAATAACACTAGGACTAGAAATAGTATCTAAGTATTGAAAATATTTCTAATAATATTTTAGATAGCAAGTTATAACTGACATAAGGTTCATTATGAACATAATACCTACCTGAAAGGAAAGTTCATTACATAGCTGTATGTAAAGTTGGCAGTAATCGCAAATAGTTCAAGAGAGACCCCATAAATATTGATCCCTTTAGCACTCTTGCTATTAAGAATTTTTAGAATTTGAGGGACTTTTACTAAAATTGAGCCAGCAATTATACCAATACCCAGACCTTTGCTTAGACTACTTTTAAAACATGGAACTGAAATACAGAATATTGGTTAATTACAAGAAACATTTGATATGTTTAGCTTACGTAATTATAAGATATTACCATCCAGGAAATTGTACTTTAAAAAGTATTCGTTGAAGCATTTTTCAGTCAATAAAGATATTAAAAATCCTTTTATAATATCACCCATTATGTAAAACGTAGAGTATCTAATGCTTATTAGTTCTTAACGATACAATATTTAACATATAACTTTCTCCTAAGGACACTCAACTTTCTTGCGACGAATACCTATAGGCATTAGGTACGCTGTTAAGTGATAACGGTATACTAGCCTGCACCAAATAATTATTGATCTAAGATGTAAAAGTTATTTTTTATATATAATTTTACATAGTAAGTTAAGTGCGTTAGGCTAAGTATTATTAGGATGTTTATTTATTGATAACACATTCGTTAAAACTTAAAATAAAATTATCAAAAATATTATTAGAATTATAAATAGTTGACAAAAACTACTTTTTAATTGTAATATTCGACTAATCATTTTTTTTACCAATATTTACTTGCCATTTAAAAATATTGGTAAAATTTAAATTTAAGCATTCTAAATCCACAATTATTATAAAGACCCTTGAGATTCTCAAATTCCAATCACAGTTATCAAATATCGAAATATGATAACTAATTAAATGAGTTAGAGATTTGGGGGTACTTATTAAAATAATAAAGAAACTTCTGCATAAACATATTTCCCAACTTTTTCGCAACATCAATCAGTTAGCATTATGGTAACATTGACTAGGTTTCTCTAGTAAACAGTGACGTGTACAAAGTATTGCCAATAGCAATTATTTAATACTTTATTATGTTCTATCGTAGACAGACTATGGTTTACTCAATCTACGTGTTCTATGTTGCTGACATAAATACTAGATAGTGATAACTCTAATATATTGAGCGTAGCCGATACTAAAACATTATATGTATTTGCATTTTGCTTAACCAAGAAACATACTAAGACGCAAACAGACTAATATTTATTTGCGACAGTATAACGACTATTATTAGGTTAAGGCAGACTGTAAAATAGAAACGACAAAATATATACTATCTGAATTCTGAATAAGATGTCAATAATATAATGTAACACTAACATGATATGTCAATTGTCAAAGCAGCATCTAAGAAGGTGGTGTTACAACTTAAAATGCTAATGCAGTAAATTGAAATTTTTAAAATTTTACTTGAAAACATCTGCATGAAAATGGGACGTTCACGCTCTAGAAGTAAATCTCCTCGGCGTCATCATAAAAGCAATAAACATTCGAGGAAGAAAAGTCGTTCAAAAGACAGATCGTCCTCTCGCAGTAGGAGTACGAAACACGCCGAAAAGTCAAGAGAACGGAGTTCAAAATCACGGTAACTTTTGAAGTCAAATAACGTTGTAGTAGCAATAACTAAGTTTTTATAACAGATTAAGAATTGTGAACGCTCATCACTGTTAGTTTTGTACTCTCACATAGCGAATACATATGTTAGTTATTTATTGGTCTAAATTTGTCTGTTTCACTTTAAACAGAAAAGTAGATGACTTATTTCTAAGCTTTATTTAATCCGTTAAGCTATGTTGAACACAATAATCTCGTTTTCCAGAAAAAGGTCACATTCTGTGTCTTCCGCATCAACCACTGATGGCTCATATGATGGTAGCAGGAGTAGAAAAAAATCCAAATGCCGCAATAAAATGGATGAAGTGGACCGCCTTGCAGAAATGGAAAGGCAAAGGCGTATAAGAGAAGCGGAACAAAAGGTAACCTTTGAATTATTTAATAATTTTTTTTTGAGATTCTATTTAAAGGAAGACATATATGTTAATTTTTTAACATTGTTATCTAAATGTCCAGTTAATAACAAAAGAAAATATATGAAATTTTCAGGTAGTTGAGGAAGAAGCTGCTAAAAGAATAGAACTTCTTGTTAAGAAAAGAGTTGAGGAGGAATTAGAAAAACGAAAGGAAGAAATAGAAAGAGAAGTTGCTAAAAGGGTCGAAGAGGCCAAAAGAAAAATGGAACATGAGATGATGCAAGAACTAGAAAAACAGCGGGAACTACAGAAACGAGAGGAAATTGCTCGACAGGTAACTGTACTTTTTAGCACCAGTAATGTGTAAAAGCAATTCTGGGTTGTTGCTATTACATATGACAAACCTAAAAAAATGCTGTTGCAGCCCAAACCTTTTAGCATACATCATTATCTTATAAAATATAACTTTTATAAACTAATTAGTATTTCGATCATATCTGTTAAAGGTCCGGTCAGGTGTAGTTCGAGTTTACAAGAACTTTTTATGTCAGTTTAATATTCATGTGATAGTATCATCTGTGGTTGTCACCTAATAAGTTTCTTAAACTTAAGAAAGGGTTTTAACAAATAACTTACATACACAAGTATTTTTAATCTCTTTTGTTGTCGTAAACTATTATGATTCATATTAGATAAAGACAATTATAACATTGGTTTCCAGTAAACATTATATAAAAAAATAATCTTTATAACATCTGACAAAAAATATTACACTTGTGACTGGTTTCATCTTGGCAAGTACTACCTATTTCGTAATTGGTGGCAACCTTAACATTTGCATACATTAGACATATATCTCAAAATGATATCACTCTGAGAGTGCCATTACGGCTACCAGCTAGAATTTTAAAATTGTTCGTTTGACTGTCCTCGGCAGTCATGTAGTGTATAAGTCAGGTCAGAAGACTGCAAGACGTGATGCTGTAAGAATTTTAAGGAGTCGCTGCTTGTGGACTCTTCCCTGAAGCTGAAGGTATTTTTTGAATCTATTTTTTGTATAACAATTTTTTGTTTCATGCTACTAAGGATTATGTAAATGGATCTATATTTTCAGCAAAATTTGTAATTACATTTTATTCTATAAACAAATTATTTCGCTGAAGCACTTGTTGTTTGGTGTGAATGATGTGAACGAAAGACTTTATGAGTTGTGAGATAAACTCAGACCTCTAACAAACAAGGGATAAAGGACTGATTCTGTCATGATTTAGGCATATTGGTAGATGTACTGCAATTTGTAATACAATGGGACGTAAACAGACTTTAACATATTTGTTTTATTATACAGGCTGAAGAGGAACGTAAAAGGAAAGAGTTGGAGGATATCATGGCTGAAAATAATAAAAAGATTGAGGAAGCTCAACGCAAGCTGGTCAGTATATTATACATTTAATTTTTTTATACAAATTCAGATGTATTTATTTAATAGGAACAGGCTCACTCAACAGGAGTGAAGTTGGTCAAGATTTTTTTACTTTATATCTCCAGAGTTACTGGGTCATATAGAGTGGATACAATAGAGCTTAGAGACCTTGTATGAGACTAATCTTCCAAGTTGGTTAAATAGTAGTTAGATTTACTACGTTTAAATTAATTACGATTGGCAATAGCACCTTAAAGTACAGAAGTTATTATCGATTATTATTATTGTATAGAACACATACAGAACAACTTTTTAATAGCCAAATGACTGCTGCACAGCTTGTGAATTGATCACTATTATGTTGGCCTGTTTGTAATTAATTCATGGTACAAAATAGTTCAGCTATTTAGTTCGTTAGCTAGCTAGTTTAATAGCTATGAATAATTAGTAAATAAAACATAATAAATATACAACAGTTTTATTGACTACCGTCAACTGAAGTTTGATTTAAAATGCTTACAAGTCGCGTACTTTATCAATGAAAACTGCCATATCAGTACCATTCTATAGCTATTTATAGAAAAATCGACGAAGTAGCAATTCCATATAAATATATATATAGTAATGGCCAAACACACCTGTGTAGTTTTCGATGCTTACAATCCTTTTTTAAATCCTAGGCGGAAGAAAGGTTGGCTATGATAGAAGAACAAAGGAAGATGGACGAAGAGAGACAAAAGTTGAAAAAGGAACAAGAGAAAAGAGTAAAAGAAGAACAAAAGAAAATTTTAGGCAAAAACAACTCCAGACCCAAACTTTCATTCTCCTTGAAACCACTTTGATAGGTGATGGCAGTTTACCTGAGTATAAATTCAGATACTTTCCATGTAGGTTGCTGTGCATTTATAAGTGTTAAATTTCATTTTTTACTTGGTTTTGTCTTGTTTCATATATTCTTTGGATACTTGTAAATATACTATTAAGTATCATAGTACATAGAATATCTTGGATTACTATAAGTTGTAATTTTGTATAAAAGATAGCTAGCTAGGTTCACCAACACAATAGTTCAGTAAAAATTATTATTAACAATCGCGTAAATTTAAGCCCAAATTAACGAAATCAGATGTACGAACAAAATCTTGTTTTATTTACATAGTTAAATCCATTCATCCATTAAGTCCAAATAATAGTCATCTTTACAGTTTTTTTAAATATATGACGCTCAATACGAGAATGTAAAAGGTTTTTTGATTTTAAATGGAAAATTAGGAATAAAATTGTTATAATGGCACTTGAATAACTTTTATACAGCAACACTAATTAGAAACAATCCCTTGTTAGTAATTTTATTTATGAACTAGAAAGCGTTCTTGATATTTGTGTACGTTATCCCTGATCTCCGAATAAATGGAATTTTGTTATTTACTTTGCTTATTTTTTAACAAGACATAATTATTCATTGACTTCATTTTATTAGGTTTAATTTCAATAAATTTTGATTTCCATTAAAATTTGTTTTATTTACTAGTTTATAATTTAAACTGAGGTTCTATCAAAAACAAAGAGTCAATGTATTTACATTATCTGTAGACAGTATTTAGAAAATTGGTAGCTTCCAGTCTAAGACCGAGCATGCTTTACTTAGTTCTGATATAAAAATTCTGTATAAAATTCAAGCAAAAATGTTTACTAAGAAAGAACAAGCCTTGAAGACTAATTAAGGTACTCCTTTTCTTTATCTCTCATAAATGAAATCAATCTAGAGGCCGCTATGAGCACGGAATCGTTTTGTTTTGTAGATATCAAATTAAATTCTGGGTCTTTATTTGGTAACGCAACCGTCTCCTGAATTGCGCACAATTTAAGGATCTCTGATTTCTTTTTAGGTTTAAATTCGATAAAACTCGCCTTGCCTAGAGGTCCATCATCTAATTCGCTAAAACTGAATGAGTTTTTTAAGTTGGTCTTACGTGGTATTGTTTTTAGATCTGTGACGCTACATACACTTTGAACGGCAACATTTGATGATTTTGAGCTTGAAGCGGAAGTTTCGCTTTCTACTTTAAGCACATTTTGCGAAGAAGGATTAGAAATATCAATTACAGGACTCAGTTCTTTTTCCGTCAAACTGCTAGATGATAACTGCTCGCGTTTGTTCGCTATTTTTTCGTCAGATACGTATGTCCGTACCATAACCGTATCCTCCATGTCATAGAAGCGTTTGAGCTTATTTAGAATTGCTTCAACATCTTGCTCAGAACCGATTTCAGGATCTTCATATGATTCTTGAATTTCAATGTGGCCTTTGTAAAAATAGTCATTGGGAAGAGAATATCCTCGCACACCAAGATCGGTTGCACTCGCATATTTTGGAAGAGTCAGAGGCTGTCTATATATGCATTCAAAATCACCCGTTGATGAATTTGGATTATTTGCATAATCAATTACAACTGCAATATTAACATCACATACATTAAAAATTGATTGGTACAAGCTTTACATTGTAAATAAAGGACTGTAACTGTACGTAGCAGGGGATTTTAACATTCCATACCATTTTTTTAAATGAGCAGTGTTGGTCGTAGGTTCGATCCCCGGATATGCACTAATGGACATTCTTTCTATATTCGCATATAACACTCGTTGGCAGGGTAAAGGAAAACATCGTAAGGATGCCTTAGACCCAAAAAGTCGACGGCGTGTCAGGCTCAGGAGGCTGATCACCTTCTTGCCTATTAGATTGACAAATGATCATGAAACAGATACAGAACCTGAGGCCCAGACCTAAACAGGCTGAAGCGCCACTGATTTATTTTTATTTCTAATGAATATTAAGTACCTTTTATTATGTCTGTTATCACAGCCGGACATATTCTTGCTGTCACTTGTGTTGTACTGTTAAGATCTGGGCATGAGTTTATTTCTATCAACCATGGTTTATATTCATTATCCAAGATAAAATCACAACCGTACAACTCAAAGCGGTTTTTACTAACTGAGAGGGAGTCTTGACAGCTCAGCATAATCCCTACAATCGATTTCTTCATTCCAGGGTAAATAATAGAATCCCATACGTCATCTCTTCCTGTTTTATTTAAATAACTTTTGTATTTATTTAAGTCCCACATATTGCTACTTGGTAGTTCTAAATGACGATTTTTGCAGTTGCTATATTTTTTTTGTACCGCATTATTCGTCAAGTGAATCGACTCGTGATAGTTTTTAAGATTATATTTCTGCGAACTGAACTTTAAATAACAGTCTCGGTACATCCATATAACTAAAGGATAGGTACTTGTTACCAAATAGTATTGTCGTATGTCAAACTTTGTCTCATGAATCAGTAGTGGCTCCTCTGAAATAATAAGATTTTAAAACATTATTTAACTATTGTAAGGTTAATGTTGGTAAGAACGCGTTATTACCGATGTATTTCTGAATGACATGTTTCGCATTGGCTTTGCACAACAAATCCGTGATAACTCCTAATTTAGATGCCATTCTTATGCCTCTTCCTCTAGAGCAATGGGCAGGTTTTATTATCCATATATTATGACAACCCTCGCAACTTAGCTGTGGCCTATATTTGTGCATTTCTCTTAAAAGATATTTGGCATAACTTAAATATAACGGCAATTTGTTACTTTTGTCTCTTGTAAATACTTCGTTTCTCGCAATGATACAGTAGTACTTCTTTAAAAACGAGTTCCACTGTTCGTCGTTCACAGTGTTAATTTCTCGATCTATATCTTTGTGCTGTTTACGAAATAGATATTCTTTACACCTATTCAAGGCAAAAACAATCACATTTATAGAAATTTTGCCAATATGATTGAAAATGGGTCTCTCATTGGCCACCATTGAAAGAGTCCATTTTAGCAAACTAGTACACGCCGTAATTTTGTAATCATGTATAAATCCTTCAATTTCACCTGGTTCAGATGTGTTATATGATCGTGGTCCTTTCACTTCGGCGACGTCCTCGATGTAAAACCAATAATTTCTTTTCATGGATGAGCATAACCCTTGTTTTGAAGTCCACACAGCATCAAGTTCCAGTTTATTAATCATCGTAGTATAGTCCTTTGACATGTCTATAGTTGTATCTCTTCTATCGTCACGAGATCTCCAAATGAAGTTAGGATTATGTTTATCTACGAAATTGGATAGAAGTAATCTTTCAAGTTCACTTTGTATTTCTAATTTGCTTGAGTAAGCACCATTTCTTATTTTTGTAAGATTCATGCGGTCCAAAGGCAACTTTTCCACCCATCCTCGATCTAATAAAGCTTTCCTGACGGCATTGCAACTGCCTTGGATTGAGAATATTTTTGCTTCTTTTATAGCCTCTGCAGCCTTCCTTTTAAGACTTGCATATTTAGTTGATTTTGCCTGACAGCTACATATTAAGTAGCTTTTTTCTTTCGGTGAAAGGCCGGCAGGAGATAGTGTTCTTTTCTCCATCCGTATCTTTTTCTTTTGATCAAATTTATGGAAAGGAGTAAATATACGTCTCACGCCACCCTTGTACAATTTCTGTCGAATTATTTGAATTTAATACAATAATAACTTAATATTACAAGTTTATTTTTTTAATACCTTTACGACTCTTGGTCTGGAAGCATTTGTAAAGTTTTGTAGGCCAGTCAAGTGGGGTGCATTTTTTGTAAGTATAGAACCAGTGATTTTCTAAAAGTTGCAATATGGTATGTAATATATATAATAGTTTATAAAAACTCACGATGTATCAAAAATATAAAAGAACTTTAGTGATTACAAAGCCTTACCCTTTTTCTTTTGCCGAATTTCTTTTTTATAATTGGCATGATGAAAATATTATTTCACCATCATTAGCCAGGTATTTGATCTGTTGAAATAATTTTAAGGATCATTAAATAAATTTGTGAGTAATAAAATAATTTCTTTTCCGTATTACACGTTACTATTTACTAAGTACATCTATAGTTTAATTAACTAACAACTTTCGCTATTTTATCTTATATCTACTATTTACTAGATTCTACATAAATTTGTACATGATGTTAAATTTTATTAAGTATAACTTCCCTGTTATTTAAAATGATTATTTATTAAAATGGGTATTTAAATATTTATTTTTTATCCTTATTGCATGATTTGTTTATTTGTTATAAAATTCAAAATAAAATTACACATTTTTGATTAACAGTGTCACTCAAATTATTGTCAAAAACACAACATAGACCCCAATATATTTTTTTTAAATACCTTGTCTACACAAATTGGTTAATCTAAGTTTTTGGGACAAAATGGAAAACTAGGATAGGATACATGTACACACAAAACTAACAAACACATACAACATTTATATTTTAAAATTTGCAGAATTTAACAACAGATTTTAAGCAACAATCACTTCTACTTTATTATTAACAACCTATATTTTTGTATTATCTCTTTTTAACGACGATTTTGCATCAAGTAATGGAACAACTCTATATGGGGCATAATTAATAGAAGTACAACTTTTGGACAAGGTTATTGATTTATTTTGGTTTTCACTGTGGAGTTTACAAATACTTCGACCTATGGCACTTAACTTTTTAATTGAATTTGACTCTTTTCCATAGTCACCTGAAGCTAAAGGTTCTAAAGTTTTACGACTATTTCTAACAACTGATTTAGATTGGATTTGCCCGCTACCTTGGTTTTTAATCAAAATTTTGTTTTGAATAGAAATAGTTGATCGAAGTATGCTCGCAGTTTCACGTTCCCATTCAGCAGGATCTATATAGCAACGCTTATTACCAACAGACCTGTCAACTTTGGGCATTTCAAATTTTTTCGCGGATTCAGTTCGGTATTTTGTAATTTTTGTGTTACTTGATTGTTCATCTTCGGGTCGGCAGCAAGAGTGGGGCTTAATACGTCGTTTGGATTCTGAATTTTTTTCGCGTCTTCCTCGATGAGTCCTACAAGAGAGCGCAGATGATTTACGCTTTTTGGATGCTTTAAATATGTTACTTGAATTCACAACATTAACAGTTTGGCGTACCGTCAGTGAATCCCGTTGGCCTATTAGAATGCCATCTTTGTTGGTAGGTAAAGCGTCGTATGGATTGAGCCAAGTTAGAAAATCTGTAATTATGGGTCCACTGTATTCTGGTGGAACCGGTTGACCAGGATCTAGTATAATATCTCCCACGGGTATTGGTGTAGGAAACGGCGTTACAGACTTGTGCTCAGTTTTCTTCTCTTTGGATTTCTTTATAAGTCTTTTACCGTTAATGCATAGTTGTAAACTAAGGTATGCTGGAGCTTTTGGTATAACTTGCCGATAGACCAGTTCAAAGGTACCTGTATCAGCTTCAGGATTCGAACGTCTGTCTAAGACGACTAAAAGAAAGGTATCATAAGTAATTAACTTTTTTGAATTTAATAATAATTATAGAAACTATAAGATACCTTTTATGACATCTTCAAGACATTGTGGACACAAGCGCGCTGTGACTGAAGTAGTCGGTGCCAAATCTGGACTCGAATTGATTTCAATAAGCCATGGAGTAAAATCGTCAGTTAACATAAAGTCAGCTCCGTACAATTCAAAGCTATTTTGCCTTTTATCCATAGACTCTTGGCATGCGAGCATAGCGCCTATCAAACATTGTTTAATTCCTGGGTAAATTTTCGAGTCCCACATTTCATATTGCCCTATCTGTCTTCAAAATTTGAATGCCATTAATTATAGGTTTCTTATATTAACGTATATAAAGATAACATTTACCTTAGATAAGCTTTGAAAGTGTGACAATCCCACATATTTTCATCAGGCAGTGCTTTGTCCCTATCACCGTTGTTCTTATATTTTGTTTGGATTGCATTATTTGTGAGGTGGACGGATTCGTGATAATTCGACAGACTGAATATTTGAGAGCTAAATCTTAGGTAACTGTCTCTGAAAGGGTTAAAACGTTAATAACAGTAGGTTTAAATAATTTATAAGTGATTTCTTACGCTTACTTGTAAACCCAAATGGTTAGAGGCTGACAATTTGTGACTAAAAACCACTGTCGAATGTCAAATTTTGTGTTGTATACTACCAAAGGATTTTCTGAAATAAAACATATTAAAATAAATAACAGGTCTGGGCCTCAGATTTCCGACTTTGTTTCATGATTATTTGTCAATCTAACAGGCAAGTAGGTGATCAGCCTCTTGTGCCTGACACACGCCGTTGACTTTTTAGGGTCTAAGGCAAACCGATTTCCTGTGTTTCCTTCACCGTTCGAGCGAATGTTAATTGCGCACATAGAAAGAAGTCCATTGGTGCAAAGCCGGGGTTCGAACCTACGTCCTCAGGGTTAGTCGCACGCTGAGCACTGCTCATATATTATATATAGTTAAATTCTACCTATATATTTCTGAACCACATATCTTGTTTTTTGTGCTGGAACATTAATGAGGCCAATAATATCTTTTATATTGTTCATTAGTTGTATGCCTTTGCCGCGACATTTGTTGCCAGGTTTTACAATCCAAATGTTAAAAACTCCATCTATATCCATTTGAGGCCAAAATTTTACCATAGTGGCTAGAACTTTAGACGATTTCCTTTCCAATTGCCTGAAAATATAGATTACGATAGTAATTATTATTTTAATTAATTTATTATCACGATATTTAATCTGTAAATGATTATCTTTTAATGTGAAACGATTAATTACTGATTTAATTAAAATCATTATAAGAGATTCTAGTTTGTTTAAAACCTACCGAATATTTATATTTTTGTCTTCAGTAAATTTTGCATTTTCATGTACCAGGAGATAATGATGTGTAAGGAACTGATCCCATTCGTGTTCCCAAACATGTTGAGCTTGTTCCTCAGTATCATCTATATCCTTATGGGAGAAGAACGCTACGTATTCATTGAGTCTTGCTATCGCAAATTCTACGGCACTCAATGGAACCTTTCCGTGGGGCTGTACAAGATGCTGTTCATTTTTGTCTTGAAATGTATTCGAGAGCCATTTCAGAACACTTATACAAGCCGTTATTCTGAAGTCATCGATAAATTCTTCAAGGCTATCGGAATTATAAATGTTGTAACAGCGTGGAAATCGTGTTACAGCTACACCTGGGTCCGTGAACCAGTGCATTTGGGTCAGAGAAGATGTTAATCCTTCTTTCGTGGTGAAAACTGATCTAAAAAATCTAGAAAAAATCACCGTTAGTAATTTAAAAGGATTATTAGTCAGATAGAGCAAATTATGGTTTACCTGCTGATAACGACGTCTTTGTTACTAAGTAACCAATCGTATTTATCCCTCTTTGTCGTCCAGAGAAAATCTACTGAATGGTGTTCCATAAATTTGTATAAAATCATTCTTTCGACTTTGGTCAATTCTTTACCCGATACTTTTCTGGGATCGATGGCTGGTGGTGGATGTCGAACCTATTTTAAATAATAAGTAATTTTATAGTTATGTTAATGTATTAAGCATGAATACCGACGATGTGAGATGTATATTTTGGAATCTCACCTGGAACAGTTACGAATATAAAATAAAAATAAATCGTCATAGTCGTAGAATAGTGACGGATCAGAAAAATAATGAACTTTAAAGGGCAGCCAATTCAAAATAATATGGTCATGTTAGTTTTTTTGTCATAACTGTTTTAATTCATATTCTGTAATTATGAAAATTGGCGCACAAAAGGGTTTGTTTTGACACAAAATAAAAATAATAACATTAAATTACGCCGTTTTCTAGAAAAATCACATGCTTCTATGAGCGTAGGTATAGGCAGCGGCACGTAAGTCTAGCGCTGGCCGATACGTGGAGGGGATTGCTGCGCATGTGTACCGTCGCGCGGGGGACAGAATGCGACTGGAGAGCCAATCGACGCTACGCGCGCCCGCGAGCCCCCCTCAGGTACCTTATTTTTTACTTCTGCGCAATAACGGTCAGCGCTAGAGTTTCGTGCCGCTACTTGTACCTATCAAATCCGTCACTTTACCGACTTATTAATTTGAAATTTAAAACACATGGATTTTTTTAATGTAGCTGTAATATTCAGTCAATGTAGTATCCAAATATGATAAAAAGTGGATTTTGGATTTTTTTCAAATCCGACATTGTTCTACGAGCATGACGAAATATATGGATGGTAGGACTAACACACTGAGCCATAATTTATGTTATAATTTGTTAGACCATACAGAAAAATTGCAAAAACCCATAGAATACTAAAAATTGTGCTTTGAATTTTACCTTATGTGTCTCGTACTTTTCAATCCAGCCACGCTCAGTAAGAGCTCGACGCACAGCAGGGAAACCACCCCCCTTAATCATGAACACTTTGCGGTCTTTCATCGCAGTATCAGCTATCTTTTTAAGTTCATTCCATCTGTCAGGACTGACCCAGCTCTTGTACTGCTTTAGTTGTTCGATGGAAGATGACGTTTCTGCTGCAAAAAAGGTCTTTTTAATTTAGGTAGATATTTTGAGTTTATATTGAGTAACAGTTTAACAAGTTACTTGACTTATTCCGTTCCCTATTCTAGAACTTTGATGTAGGTTAGACACAGATACCAATAAAAATATTGTTTTTTACGAATAATTACTAATAATTAGTTTTATTAAAAAATTGATTCAATAATTTAATCTAAATTAACTAAATTCGCAAAATTAATGCCAAAGGTTAGTTAATGGACGTTTAGATGTCATATCTACTCTACAAACCTAGTCCATGATCAGACTTGGAGATGGAAACTGCACTTGACGGCCGTAATTCCTTTTTGCTAATACTTTCCTTATGAAGTTTCGAGTCAGATACGCTTTCCTCCAGATCCATAGTTATAGCCATGTGAAATGCTGATTGTTGGGTTTTCTGAAATATAACTGCGTCTGTGACATGTTTAACTTATCATCTAAACGTCTACACACAGCAGTTAATGCCTTAAGACTAGCAAGCCATTGGATCACATTTGAGTTCTGAAATATTAACCTACTTTATGTAGCCTACATTTTCTTCCTGTTAGCTGTTGCTAGGGCCATCGTACCGAGCTCATCATGGCACCAGCGGCCCCATGTGACGTCATAGGATGCCCGTCCTTCGAACTTTATAAGGTTTGATAAATATATGCGGAAATAAACATGCTTGTATTAATCTTACCTTGCAAAATGTTTAGGGATGATATACAATTTAAAAAACAGAGCTTTTAGCTCGATTTAGAAAAAAATAAATTTACAAATAATTTATTTCGTTACGTCTTCATGTTGACTTACTTACTTTGACATTTCCTGTAAAATCTAGGAGCTATCAGGCACAGGCGAAGCAAAAAGCTTTTATATTTACTCAATGGCTTGTTTATGTTATTGTGATACTTAATTGAAAAAGATGAGTTGGTAGGTACATGAAGAGATTTGAATATGTACCACGTAGGTATTTGAATTTTTATTATTATTATTTAATTAGCAATAGGTACAGAGAAATTCGTCGACCTCTTTTATTAAAAAAATATTTCATGAAGATTTCGTTTATCGAGCTATATTCACATAGTGAGTTATATATTCAAATATTATATTGTATCGTTGCTAGTACTATCAAACTAAGAAAGCAGTACTCAAAATAATAAAGTTTTTTAATTTTTTATCCTTAATAAAAACACTAACATATTTATTAAAACGTTAGCTATTTAAGCCATAAAATACGCTTATGAGTAAGAACAATAGAACCCTATGCTTAATTGATAATTATTAGTTTCCCGCCACATAATTTTAAATTTAATATGTGGCGGGAACATTCATGACAAAGCCACACAGAATACATTATATTTTGGCGTACGGTAACATTTTGTCATTTGTTATTGACAGTTACCGATTTGTCAGTGAAACTTTGACAGATGCGAATCCGTGACATGAATTGAAAGCAAGATGGCGAGTTCATCTCCCGTTGATCGTTCGCTTCGTGTAACTTCTACAAAATAAATTGTCATCTGAGACAAACTAACATTTTATTTTTTTTTCTATTAAATTTATGATTTCTTAATATTTTTAAAATTAGAAATACGTGTTTTAGTGATATTAATAATTTTGGATAATTTAAAACTTTGATGTGCATCTATCCCACCTGAGGAATGTTGGTTTTTTTCAGTGATTTGTGATTTGGTCAGGTGTTTAGAGTTAAATTTTGTTCTTGCGCAGTGACTAGTGAGTGAGGCTAGAGAGTTTAGATGTGTTTGTGCCGTGGGGATGTTAGATGTCGGAATTGTTTCCAATGTTGGGAAACAAAAGCGTGAACTATTTGTTTTGATAGAACGTGATAAATTAGATAAGTCACCCTGGATCCTACAGGAGTGATGGCCTGTGAGGTAAGACTTAAAATTTACCCTTCACCTTTTCATTTCCTTACACAAACTTTAACATCTTATGTTTTTACATTTTGATGTAAATAATGTAAAAACATGACTATCCAGCAGACTATTTAATACCTATGTCCATCTTCATATTTCTGATACTATGTTAGCTTAAGACATCTAAATAAAATAAAAAAGTTAGTAGTAAAAATATATCTAGGTTCTTACCACAATATACCCTTGTATATTGTGGTAAGAACCTATCCAACCTATCCAAGTATTAACCATTATTATATTATTCATTTAATAAAGGGTAATATAATGTATGTGAAAACATATTAACTGAAGTAGGTAAGTGGACAATATAATCATTGATGTGCAGCCATGTGATACAGGTTTTTGTGCTCACTTGTGTATTTGAAATTGTTATAATCTACTATAAATTATTACAAGAATGTGTCATACCACTGATAACTAAGTCTCAGTATTGATAAAATCAAATATCACATTAACTAAACACATGTTTGCATTTTACGGATATACCTATTTTGCACTTTTTGAAGTGTTTATATTGAATAATGATATAAAAATTAAACTAAAGCTTGCTTAATGTTAAATTTTAATAAACATTTATATGTCAATATATATTTAGTAATGAATCTTAAAATGTTTTAATATTCAAATAAATTTATGCAATTGTCACATTTAATAAAATACAAAATCAGCTTTAAAATACTCAAGCCTTGTTGCCGTTAAAGATTAGGCTTTGGAGGAAAAACCCTGATTAGTTCATAATTTACAAAACTTTAAGTAAAGAGTGTCATCACTGTAAAATGATACTAATTTTGCATTAAAATTTGTTTCCTTGAAATCTTCTATACAATTTAACTCTTTTTTGCATACCTTTTGAGCAGAAATTGAGTAAGTAGTTCAAAGAAAAAAATTAGTTCTACATGTCTTAATGATTTTAAAGAAGACCTTAAATCAATGGTAAATTTTAAATGTTTGATATGAGCAATAAATAAATTAGTAATAATTATTAGCTTTTCCTAGGGGTTATTGTATTTTCTATTTTGGTATGTAACATGGGCCAAGTATCAGCAGTACAGCCATTTATCATTTGGGAATGAATTTTTTTTTTATTATATAAGTTATTATATCATTGTAATGTTTATCCAAGAAGAATCAATATCATCAGATGTAGTTCTAGGAGCAACTTGTCCTTATGTTAGTTCATCATTGTAAAAAAAATTACCTAGCATAAAGCGGGCCTCCTACATTTGGTAATCTTTACATTAGCCCTATTGTTTCATAATTGTAACATTTTGCTTTGAGGTTTCCCACGATTCAATTGTTATTTTGTAAGAGAGCGTGTGCGTGGCTCGACCGCATAGGCGCCGATATCGGTCGTGAGAGCACACTGTTACGTTTTCGGAGGTCAAATTTTACCGTAACGTTAATAAAATGCCTACTTGCTGACCCTAATAATCCTTAAAAAACACTGGTATTATACACTTCGTATAGAACTATTTCTATTAAACTCAGTATATATAGGTATACAGGTGTTTACCTAACTAGATGCTAAAATATTATTAAGAATAATCGCGTTTTTGTCCTGTGTGAAATAGAAATAAAATTAGAAATCTTTAAATAACGTTTTGTCCAATTAAGAATTATTTAAATTAATAATACTTGCGTAAATAAAAAACGATCTAGTCTTTAGTTCCTACTATGTAATGATTTGATTGCTAAGTAATTTACGTAACATTCTTTGTAATTTGTCATAATTAACGATAATTAACTAAACTAGAAAACATTTAACCTTTAAGTTTTTACGGTTGCGGTTGTTAGGGCCAGTTATATTATTATGCCTAAAACTAATGTCACGGTGTTTGCGCGGTGACTAGAACGTTATCTATGTGGGCCGTTGTTTCCTCATAGGGCCTCCGATTGCACCCGTACATGTGCAGCTGGAAAGCCATTTTAACATGAGCTGTTGTGGCTAAAGAATTAAACTATTTTATATTGTAAACAACAATGAAAGGAGCACAGGAAAGTGCGTTCATAAACTGGTCAGGTTAACCAAACAAATACGGTAAGGTAAACGTGATGCATTTTCGTATGACGTATGATGAAATTCAGTGTGTTTTGAGAGTTTTGTATGAAATTATAGAAGGGTTTCAATCGAATTGAATCGGTTTACTTAAAACTCTCCTTAATTACATGAGCGCGAGAATATTGATTTTAAATTACTCAACGCTGGTTTCCATTATTATGTTACTTGCAAAACGTGTTAAGGCCAAGTACCAAGTATATTATAATAAATCCTTGAGCTGGGGTTGACAGAACAAAGGACTTTAACTTGACGGTAACTAACAAAACTTGAACTTGTTTCGTCTACACTCGACTGTAGAAATGTAGAACGTGGTTGTAGTAATAATTGTAATATTTGTTGTATAATTAAAAAAAACTTATTAAGTTTTTTTAAGTGTGTAATATGTATTTGTTAGTAGCCTCTAGTATAATTACTTGGCTATTCAACAATAAAGTATCGTTATTAGAAACTGTATAATCTAGTTCATTGGAAGCATTTTGTGTTTCTCTTTTTGTGACGCCTAACGTGCAGTTGATTAACAAAAAGTCGATTCGATATTATTGTCAGTCATCGCGTAGTTTAAACATTTTCAGTAAAGTAGTCGTGCGCATAAGGTCACTGACCCGGATTTAACAACAAATAACTACAGAAACTTACAAAATCAATAGAATTATGTATCAAAACGCTTGACAAACTTTCTAAAATATAATAAAAATAACCTTCAGAAGGGCAGTGGTAACTCGACTTTAAACACTCATACATATAAAAGTTAAGGTATTAATTTGTTTTAAAGTTTTGTGCTATACGTTATACAGTACCAGATTTGTTTAACCTTTTTGAATGTAGTTACCCTTCATTGAAATTACAAATGTCGTTTGTTAGTTCAAGAGCTTAGAATGCGGCAATGTTTAAAATATGTGTTGCTTACTTAACCACAGATTCATACTGAGCCTAAATATAAATGTGTAAAAGTTTTTTTTCGACGGTCGTTCGTATGACTGAGTATGAATGTAAAAGAAAACGGAAAGAACTAACGGTCTATGTTTTGCATCAATCTTAATAAATTCATATTGTACGAAAATTCTATTTTAGGTAGAGCTAAAATAAATTGACCTTTAATCCAAGTTGTTCGTGATTCATGTGACCTTATACCATTGGTGCTGGCGGGTGAAAGGTGGGGTACCGTTTTGTTACAATTTGTCCCCCTTTTTGTCCTACTTACAAACCATTTAACAAGTCGCCACCTATGAATTATTATGCTTAGGGAGTCCTACAGTAACTATAATATAGTGAAGAGTCAAACGGCTAAAGAAATATACGACCTCAAAATAGGTTAACTTGTGGCTACTTTATACGACAACGAAGTCACAAATTAGCAATGTAAATTTGATAATACATATTTAAGTTTAGCTT